TCTTTCTTTTCTTTTTTTTTTTTAAGATTTTATTTATTCAGAGAGAGAGAGAGAGAGAGAGAGAGACAGGCAGAGGGAGAAGCAGACTCCATGCAGGGAGCCCGATGTGGGACTCGATCCCAGGTCTCCAGGATCAGGCCCTGGGCTGAAGGCGGCGCTAAACCGCTAAGCCACCCAGGCTGCCCAGATTCTCTGTTTCTTAAAGACAAATTTTGGTTCCAGAAATTACTGTTCCATATTATACATATTTTTAAAATTTTATGTATTCATGAGAGACAGAGAGAGAGGCAGAGACACAGGCAGGAGAAGCAGGCTCCATGCAGGGAGCCTGACGTGGGACTTGATCCCCGGACTCCAGGATCACGCCCTAGGCCCAACGCAGGTGCTAAACTGCTGAGCCACCCAGGAATCCTCTGTTCCATATTATAATACAACCTGCACTTAAACATCATGGAATTCCATATCATTGGGTTTTTTGTTGGTTTGTGTATGTGTGGTGATGGTGGTGGTGGTAAAATATGTATAACCTAAAATTTGCCATTTTATCCATTTTATGTATCTTTTTAAAAAAATATATTTTATTTGGGACGCCTGGGTGGCTCAGTGGTTGAGCGTCTGCCTTCGGCTCAGGGCGTGATCCTGGAGTCTTAGGATCAAGTCCCACATCGGGCTCCCTGCATGGAACCTGCTTCTCCCTCTGCCTATGTCTCTGTCTCTCTCTCTCTCTCTTTCTCTGTGCCTCTCATGAATAAATAAATAAAATCTAAAAAAAAAAAAAAAAAAGATTTTGAGAGAGAGGGCACAAAGAAGGAGAGGGAGAAGCAGAATCCCCGCTGAGCAGGGAGCCCAACGTGGGGCTCGACGCCAGACCCCTGGGATCATGACCTGAGCCGAAGACAGATGCTTAACTGACTGAGCTGCCCAGGTGCCCTAAAATGTGCTACTTTAACCATGTGAACTAAGCCACTAAGCCACCTGATCAGAGATCAGTGGGGCTAATTTTGGGGATGGGGTAGGTGCTCTAAAGCTGCTTCCAGATCAAAGATCTGACCTTGGCTTTGAGATCCTATTCAGTAAGCTACTTGAAGGCCTTTGAATGACTACTATACAAAGAATCACAGTAGTGTCCTGAGGAACGTAATACAAGTGCTGCCCCTTCTGCGTGTTTTCCTCATTCTAAAATGAAGCTCTGACAAGGATTCTAGGATCTCTTCCTGCTCCTTACTCTCTGATTCCAGGAGGTTCTGTATGCTAGAGCAAACTGAAAAACAAATGACCCCTCCAGTTTCAAGACTGTACCTCTGGCTTGAGGAACTGAACAGGAAAGAGGTCTCAAATTCATCGTCAACCACTCAAGTTCCTGCTTCCAATCTGACCTTCCACCTGCTACCCCCAGTACGGCCATTCTTTCTTTGATCCTATCCTGGTTCCTGACCAAAGAAGTAACCCAGGATGCTGACACTGGAATCTTTAGGCTGGCAGTCTGATAGGCCTGAGCTCAAGTCTTGGTCTTGCTATTTATGAGCCAGACAACCTAATACTATTCTGAGCCATATGTCCTGCTTTGTGATGGGACCCTGAACCTCTGAGACAGCCTGCTGGGAAGGCTTTGTCCAAGCCCCAGCACACTCCTGCAGTGGCTGGATGACTGTGACTCTCCAGACTGTTACCCAATGCCAGATGTAGGTGGGGACGACTGGGCAAGTATCAAACCCTCTTGGAACCCTAAGCCACTCTGGACATGTGAAAGGAAGCAGCATAACTATGCTCAGCCCTTCAAGTCAAGACAGGCTTTCTGAAAGAGGTGGACGCTGAAGTCAGCCCAGCTTGACCTCAAGAAGAGAGGGCCTTTCAGGTAGTCTAATAGTGCCAGCACAGGGCTCACTGCCCTGTACCAGTGCCACAGGCCACATGGGCTTTAGAATCTAAGAGTGGGACTTTCAGGGCAGCCCTCGAAGTTTTGTTTTTTTTTTACCTCTTGAAGTTTTTGTAACTAATAGTCAAGGGCTGTTTGCAGAATCACACAACCTCCTCCCACCCCCATGTGCCCCATTCCTTTGTATCTCTAGACATTGTATTAATAGCATAAGGGAGAGGGTTACATGTTTATTCCGTTGGCTTCTTTGTAGGCACTCACCAGCAGACTTCCTTGCAGCAGCAGGTGCCAATATTTTTTTTTTAATTTATGAGAGAATAGCTTAAATTGGGAGATTCTGTACATTAACTTTAAGCATATGGAGAACTGGGAAACATACCATAACATACTGGGAAACATACTATACTAGGGCAGAACACCGAGGTCTAGGAAAGATAGTGATTCAGTCCACAAGAGGTTCGAGAAGTAAACCAAAAAGTGTAAATTGTTATTGTGATTGAAAAAAATGACATAGCAATATTAATAACACAGCAAACATTTGTTTATATAAGTTCTGTATAATTACTATATTTCCTTCATTTCCCAAGAATGATATAATGAAAATGACATTTAAGGAAACTGAGATATGAAATTACCTTAAAGAGTAAATATTCCTCTTATGTACCTGTTAACTTCATTCATATTACTCCTCCCCCATCTCTGTCTGATTAAATGTTAGAGAGTAGTCCCAGTGCCAGCCCCTACTCCTCTGATCTCTTGTGACTCACCTACCCGCAACCAGAAGTGACTTTTTTCTCTAGGGATCCTTCTATAGCATTTTCCTTGACTTTTCTTTTCTCTTACTACTTACCACTTTCTTTCATTATGGAAATAAGTCCAGATCTTGCATCAACTACTTTTTGGTGATCTCCTTGTAGGGACAGATTTATGACTGAGTCATCTTTTCAACCCCAGGGCTTTCAACATAAATGTTTATAATGGTTTTCTGAATGAAAATGTTGTAGACAAACCACCTTGTGAAACATTTTCTCCTTTCTTCTTCACCTGTTGACTTCTCTCCTGATGTGTGTGTGCAGGAGACCAAGTGTTGGGTATTTCTTGAGCCACCACATGGTAGGCATTAGGTGCTCTGTAAGGGCCTGCTGGATGGACAGATGGAAGAGAGAAGTCTACACTGAGTTCCAGGCCCATTTCTGACGCCAAGTCGCTTCATGTCTCCAGACATGTCAGGACTTCTGTCCTGTGCCTCTAATGAACTGTGTAGGAAACCACTTGGAGGGACCCTTCGGTCACGCAGTGGTTTAGCGCCTGCCTTTGGCCCAGGGTGTGATCCTGGAGACCCGGGATTGAATCCCACGTCGGGCTCCCGGTGCATGGAGCCTGCTTCTCCCTCTGCCTGTGTCTCTGCCTCTCTCTCTCTCTCTGTGACTATCATAAATAAATAAAAATTAAAAAAAAAAAGAAACCACTTGGAAACAGTCATAAGCTCTGGCTATGCTATATAATCTATTATTTTACCCAATATGTTTCTACTGGAAATATACAAATTAATTTTATAAAAATTATTATATTTATAAATCAAAGGAATACAAGCACATATTCTTCTCTGGTAACATCTTAATTCATTTTTATTTTTATTTTTTAAAAAAATTTTTTTTAATTTTTTATTTATTTATTTATGATAGTCACAGAGAGAGAGAGAGACAGGCAGAGAGACAGGCAGAGGGAGAAGCAGGCTCCATACACCGGGAGCCCGACGTGGGATTCGATCCCGGATCCCCAGGATCACGCCCTGGGCCAAAGGCAGGCGCCAAACCGCTGCGCCACCCAGGGATCCCCTCTTAATTCATTTTTTAAAAAGATTATTTTTTCATAAGAGACACACACAGAGGCAGGGACACAGGCAGAGGGAGAAGCAGATTCCCTGTGAGGAGCCTGATGTGGGACTCAGTCCCAGGACCCCGGGATCATGACCTGAGCCAAATGCAGATGCTCAACCACTGAGCCAGCCAGGAGTCCCTTAATTCATTTTTTGTAAACACACCTTAAATACCTAAACATTGCTCACCAGAGACACAAGTGATGCACTGATTATTTCCTTTGTTGTACAATCTTCTATTTTCTCTGAGATGAAAACAGCATCGTTTTTCATTCGCTTACTTTTCTTTTTTAATATTTTTTATTTATTTATGAGAGACACAGAAAGAGGCAGAGACACAGGCAGAGGGAGAGGCAGGCTCCTCGCAGGGAGCCTGATGCGAGACTCGATCCCAGGCCCCCGGCGTCACACCCTGAGCCAAAGGCTCAAACCGCTGAGCCACCCGGGTGCTCCTGATTGGCTTACTTTCCTACGTCTCATCCAAATGTTTCAACAGATGAATTAAAGGACTCTCAGCATCACTCTCCACCTGCTTGGAAGCATCGAATAATCCACTACAAGTCATTTTTTAAGGTTTATTTATTTTTAGTAATCTCTGCACCCAAGGTGGCCCCGAGACCAAGAGTCGTATGCTCTTCCCACTGAGACAGCCAGGCGGTCCCAAATTAATTTTTAAGATTTTATTTTTAGGGATCCCTGGGTGGCGCAGCGGTTTGGCGCCTGCCTTTGGCCCAGGGCACGATCCTGGAGACCCGGGATCGAATCCCACATCGGGCTCCTGGTGCATGGAGCCTGCTTCTCCCTCTGCCTGTTTCTCTGCCTCTCTCTGTCTCTCTCTGATGACTATCATAAATAAATAAATTTAAAAAAAAACTAAAAAAAAAAAAAGATTTTATTTTTACGTGACGTTTACACTCAGTGTGGAACGCGAACTCACAACCCTGAGATCACGAGTCACAACCAACTACTGGCCAGCCACCCTAATCAAATTGTTTGAATAACTTAAAGCGTTGCAAGAAATTCCGCTGCACGTTTTCAGGGTCGCTGACCCTCTGTCCACCAACGGGAGCTCCCAGGGTCTGAATTTCACCTAAACTTACGACCACTCGCAGACACAGAGGCCGACCGCGCCGCTCCCCCAGCCTCCTCTCCGGCCCGCCCACCCGCCCCGCCGGCCACGCCCACCCGCCCGCCGGCCACGCCCACCCGCCCGCCGGCCACGCCCCTTCCGGGGCCGAGCCCCGCGCTCCTGCACTTCCGGCGTGCGCGTTCGGCGCCCCGCGCGTGGAGCCCGGCGCGGTGTGCCCATGGCGGCTGGGGGTAGCGATCCGCGGGCGGGCGACGTCGAGGAGGATGCCTCACAGCTTATCTTTCCCAAAGGTGGGGCTGGGGCTGCGCGGCTGCTCCCCGCTGTCCCGCGTGTTCGCCGCAGGCCTGGCGTCCCCACGGACGGGCAGGGGCAGAGAGGATGGGGATGTGGCGGGAGGGGGCCCCCGCGGGCCACGGTGCCTCGAGAGGGGCCGGTGGGATTCCAGCCTCTGTCCCGGAGCCGTTGGCTCCTTTTTACTCGTTTACGTCGTTTATTGTATGTGATGAACCACCAAGTGCTGCAGAAATAGACGAGGATGAACAAAGCCCGCTCTGGTTAAAGTGATAAGGACAGACTTTAGTAAGGGGCGCTGGGGCGTCCGGCCGGCTCAACCCGTACAGCACGCCAGGCTTTTTTTTTTTTTTTCTTTTTTTTCCTATTTTCTTTCGAGAGGGCGCGCATACGGGGTGCAGAGGCAGGGGGCAGGGGACGCGGAGCTGGCGCCGGGACTGAATTTCGGGACTCTGGTCATGACCTGCGCCAAAGGCGGACGCTCGACCCCAAAGCCACCCAGGCAGCCCTGGCTTGCTGGTCTTAAGCTCCAGGTCACGAGCTCGCGCGAGGAGCCTGCTTTAGAAAAATAAGAATAAAATTCAGGCACGATTGCGATAGGGAAAAGAGGCTAGCGTGGACTGAGCTCAGTTTCTGTTTGTACGGAGGTGATTGGGCGTTTTAAAGGAGAACGGAGGAACGAAGGGGTTGGCCGCGTCTCCGTAGATCCGGGAAGTGAAAAATCAAAAAACGCGGAAAGGGGGATTGGTGCATTCGAGACCCATTTGAGGGTTTATGTCATTTATGTTAACTGGCGCTTATGGAATTTAGGCTTCCGCTCTCCCACAGCTCTTCTCTGAACTCAGGGACAGGGGCCCCGTCTCTAGGTGTTGGCTGGGACAAGCCGTAAATTATTGACAACAGCTGTCAGCTTTCAGCTCGGTAGGCGCTTTATTTTTTTTTTTTATTACTTTTTTTTTTTTTTTTATGATAGTCACAGAGAGAGAGAGAGAGACAGAGACACAGGCAGAGGGAGAAGCAGGTTCCATGCACCGGGAGCCCGACGTGGGATTCGATCCAGGGTCTCCAGAATCGCGCCCTGGGCCAAAGGCAGGCGCCAAACCGCTGCGCCACCCAGGGATCCCTACATTTTTTTTTTTTTTAAATTTTATTTATTTATTCATGATAGTCACAGAGAGAGAGACAGAGAAGCAGAGACACAGACAGAGGGAGAAGCAGGCTCCATGCAGAGAGCCCGACGTGGGATTCGATCCCGGGTCTCCAGGATCACGCCCAGGGCCAAAGGCAGGCGCCAAACCGCTGCGCCACCCAGGGATCCCGATCCCTACATTTTTTAATTTGAATTCAATTTGCCAACATATTGGTAGGCGCTTTAAAGGGGCCGGAGTCAACCTAGGCAATTAGAAATTGTGTCAGTATTTTTGTTCATGTCCTTCTGGGCCACATATGAGGCCCAAAAGCAGGGCTCAGAGGAGCCTGGCTAGAGTTTGGCCAGAGTCTTTGTCAGAAGGCTACAAGTACAGCACATTTTTGTTGTCAGTGGACTTTCTTTGTGCAGCGAGATGTACTTTATTTGTAATTTAGAAACCGAAAATAAGCAGGAAGCTTAAGATTTTAAAATACCATATTAAAATAAAATAAAATACCATATTTTACAGGTACTGAAGAATGCAAGTAAATACGGGAAACCTTAACAATACCCACCTGTTTTAAAATTATTGCATACACAGGAAAAAGTGAAACTCCACACCCTTTCACCCAGAGGGAGTACTGTAAACAATCAGTACTTACTGTTCCAAGCTAATTTTATGTTTATGAATAAATATTTATGTACAATTTTTTCTTTGTAAAAATGAGATTATGCAAGAGGAATGCTATAGCCTTTTAAAATTTTGATGATATATTATGTAGAACTGTCCTGTTTTTTTTTGTTTTGTTTTGTTTTGTTTTGTTTTGTTTTGTTTTGTTTTGTTTTTAAAACAGCTCTAGGCCCAATGTGGGGCTTGAACTCACAACCCTGAGATCGGGTGTCCCATGCTCTATGGTCTGAGCCAGCCAGGTGCCCCATCCTGTTCTTTTAAAGGGTGAGAAATACTTAATGGTTTACCATAATACTATTTTTTTTTTATCTGTTGATAGACATATAGGTTGCTTCCAATTTTTTATTTCATTGACTCAAGGTCACATATTTCCGTAGGATAGCCTCATGAAAGTTTCTGGCATAATAAAAGTATATGTTTATTTTTTTAACTCACTGGGAGATGGTCTCTTAATATATGATAAATTAAGCCAGTTTTTTGTGCTTGGGTTTTGTCTTGGTACTTTTTATTTATTTATTTTTTTGCACTCTGAAAATATTTATTTTGATAAAAGCAAGTAACATCTGGTACATGAAAATTTTATTGAATTAGGTATAATTAGACCTTAGATTCTGTCAGTTAACAGTGTGTCAGACTTCGGAATATCTGTTTAACTTCTCAGCTCATATGGGGTTACACAGTGATTTTTATTTTTTAAAGATTTTATTTATTTATTCATGAGAGGGATCCCTGGGTGGCGCAGCGGTTTGGCGCCTGCCTTTGGCCCAGGGCGCGATCCTGGAGACCGGGGATCGAGTCCCATGTCGGGCTCCCGGTGCATGGAGCCTGCTTCTCCCTCTGCCTGTGTCTCTGCCTCTCTCTCTCTCTCTCTCTCTCTCTCTCTCTCTCTCTCTCTCTGACTATCATAAATTTTAAAAAAAATAAATAAAATATTTATTCATGAGAGAGACTGAGAGAAGAGAGGCAGAGACACAGGCAGAGGGAGAAGCAGGCTCCATGCAGGGAGCCCGATGCGGGACTCGATCCTGGGGCTCCAGGATCATGTCCTGAGCCAAAGGCAGACGCTTAACCGCTGAGCCACCCAGGCATCCCCTACACAATGATTTTTATGTAGTTTAGAATATCTGAAGATGGGGGACTTCTGAGTTGCTCAGTGAGTTAAGTGTCTGTCTGCCTTTGGTTCAGGTCATGATCCTGGGGTCTTGGGATCTAGACACTTGTCCAGTTCTCTGCAAAATGGGGAGTCCACTGCTTCCTCTCCTCTGCCCCTCCCCCCCGCTTGTCTCTCTTTCAAATAAATAAATATAATCTTTTAAATACAAGGGAATATGGGAGCGCTTGGTTGCTCAGTTGGTAGAGCATGCTACTCTTAATCTCGAGGTCAGGGGTGGTGAGTTCCATCCCTATGTTGGAGGTGTACTTTGCTTTAAAAAATATATGTGAAGATACATAGAAACAACAGTAAGTACTTAAAAGATAAGGAAAGCCTTTGCTGTAGATAGAAAGCAAACAAATGTGTGCTAATTCTGTGGGATGGAAGAACAGGTGAGGCAACTGAAAGCGTCTTGAGAGTTTGTAGTTAGTTTTCACAGCACGTTTGCCAGAAAAATAAAATTTTTTTTATTTATCCACAAGAGACCCAGAGACACAGGTAAAGGGAGGAGAAGCAGGCTCCCTGCATGGAACCTGATGTGGGACTTAATCCCAGGACTCCAGGATCACACCCTGAGCCGAAGGCAGAGGCTCAGCCACTGAGCCACCTGCACGTCTCTCTCTCTCTCTCTCTCTCTCTTTCAAGATTTTATTTAGTTTTTCATGAGAGACACAGAGAGAAGCAGAGACACAGGCAGAAGGAAAAGCAGGCTCCATGTAGGGAGCCCGACGTGGGACTCGATCCTGGGATTCCAGGATCGCACCCTGGGCCAAAGGCAGAGGCTAAACCTCTGAGCCACCCAGGGATCCTCTCTCTCTCTCTCTTTTTTTTTTTTTTTAAGATTTTTTTTATACATGAAAGTCACACAGAGGCAGAAACCTAGGCAGAGGGAGAAGTAGGCTCCTATAGGGAGCCTGGTATAGGACTCGATCCCAGGACCCAGGATCACGCCCTGAGCCAAAGGCAGAGGCTCAACCACTGAGCCACCCAGGCATCCCTGGAACCATACACTCCAATATGATCCCCATTTCTCCATTCCCTCAGCTAAAGAAATCCCCTAGAACATTTTGTACCAGAGAGAAAAATATGTAGTATGAGAAGATCATCTGAAGTTGCCACCTTTACCATAATGGTTGTAATGGAGTGTCCTCAAGAACATTCACAGTTGAGGTACTGGCCAAGGAATATTTTTCTTTCTTACAGGAACGGAAATTAATAAATTGTGGCTATTCTTAAAATACCAGTGCAGAGGAAGAATAACATACCTGGTTTGGCTGCTTTGGTCTTTCATTGTTTGAAAGGAGTGAGAGTGATGTGTAAATAGTACTTGGACATTACCGTGAGTGAGGAATGGGGGCAGGTGACTGGCCTCCTGGTGTCCTGAAAGCGCTATCCTGTTTTAACAGGTACATTTCACTTAGTACAGAAAGTGAAGCATCTTTCATTGGGCCAATTTTCCAGAAGCCTTAAAAGCATCAATAGCTGTAATAAACTTGGGAGATGATTCTTGTTAGTAACTCTGGCTTAGCCTCTTGATTTCCTCTTTTTCTTCTCTTCTCTTCTTTCTCTCTCTCTTCTCTTCTCTTCTCTTCTCTTCTCTTCTCTTCTCTTCTCTTCTCTTCTCTTCTCTCTCTTCTCTCTTTTCTTTTTTTGGCTAAGATTTTATTTATTGATGAAAGAGAGAGCCCACAGAGGGGGAGCAGTAGAAAGAGGAAGAAACAGAAACAGGCCTCCTGCTGAGCAAGGAGCCTGATGCAGGGCTCCATCCCAGGACCCTGAGATCGTGACCTGAGCCAAAGGCAGATGCTTAACCAACTGAGCCACACAAGTGCCCCTGTAGCATTAATGCTACAGCCTCAGAAGCTGAGACTAATCCATTCTTTAGGTGCTGTTGCTGCTTTTTTCTCCTATCATGTCACTTGTGACTGTCACTTTGGAGATTTGGAGCCATACACTCCTTTTTTTTTTTTTTTTAAGATTCTATTTATTCATGAGACACACAGAGAGGCAGAGGAAGAAGCTGGCTGCCTGTGGGGAGCCTGCTACAGGACTCAATCCCAGGACCCCAGGATCACAATGTGAGCTGAAGGCAGACTCTCAACCACGGAGCCACCCAGGCACCCCTGGAACCATACACTCCTAATATTTCATGTCCTCTTGATTCATTGCTCTGAAGCAGTAGTTTCTCTATTTGTACACTACTGCATCGATACAGAATCGGCAGTGACCTGCACGGGACAGGAATTAGCTCTGAGAGGTTCCTCTTGCTTAAACTCTGCTGACCTCTGGTAGAAAATAGCTTCTTGGTGCCTATTAGATTTAGGAGTAATGAGAACTTTTCAAATAAAAATATTGTTCCCCTCACCCCACATACACACCCAGCCCACAGATGGTTGTGGAAGCAGAGTGGAAGTTCTTGTCACTTGGCCTGAGAAAGAGGCATTACTCAGATGGTGGTATTAGTGATTTCCCCAATAGTAAACATACCCATGACCCATGGAAATGCTAAATTGTAAGTAATTTTGGATTTTCCTCATTATTATTCCTCAGTGTGGGATTAGAAACATGAATTCATGTTTATGAACGGTTCCTACTGTGGAGGAACTCACTGATAAGGAACAGTCAGAAACCAATTCTAGGGACACCTGGGTCGCTCAGCATTTGAGCATCTGCCTTTGACTCAGAGCGTGATCCTGGAGTCTCAGGATCGAGTCCCTCATTGGGCTTCCTGCATGGAACCTGCTTCTCCCTCTGCCTGTGTCTCTGCCTCTCTCTCTGTGTCTGTCATGAATAAATAAACTTTTAAAAATAAATAAATCCAGTTTTTATTTTATTTTTAATTTTATTTATTCATGACAGACACAGAGAGAGAGGCAGAGACACAGGCAGAGGGAGAAGCAGGCTCCATGCAGGGAGCCTGACATGGGCCTCGATCCCAGGTCTCCAGGATCATGCCCTGGGCCAAAGGCGGTGCTAAGCCACTGGGCCACGGGGGCTGCGCAAATCCAGTTTTTAAAGTTTGCTTACTGGTATTCTTCCTATTCAAGAAGAGGATTATTATTACTTTTAAAGATTTTATTTATTCATGAGAGAGAGAGAGGCAGAGGGAGATGCAGGCTCCATGCATGGAACCCGACATGGGACTCGATCCCCGGACCCCCCCCCCCAGGATCACACCCTGGACCGAAGGTAGATGCCCGCTGCTGAGCCACCCAGGTGTCCCAAGAGGATTCTTATTATTTTAATTTTTAATTTAATATTTTAAATATTTATTAATGAAGATTATTTTTAAATGAGTATCGAGGGTGAGCCCAAATGTCCATCGGCTGATGAATGGATAAAGATGTGACACACATACACAATGGAATATGATTCAGCCATAAAAAAGAATGAAATCTTGCCATTTGCAACAACGTAGATGGACCTAGAGTATCATGCTAAGCAAAATAAGTCAGAGAAAGACAAATACTATGTGATTTCACTCACATGGAATTTAAGAAACAAAACAGATGAACATAGGAAAAAAAGGGGGCAAACCAGAAAACAGGCATTTAACTACGGAGAAAAAACGAAGGGTTGCTGGAGGGGAGGGGGGGATAAGTTAAATGGGGAATGGGTATTAAAGAGGGCACTTGGGATCCCTGGGTGGTGCAGCGGTTTAGCGCCTGCCTTTGGCCCAGGGCACGATCCTAGAGACCCGGGATCGAATCCCACGTCGGGCTTCCGGTGCATGGAGCCTGCTTCTCCCTCTGCCTGTGTCTCTGCCTCTCTCTCTCTGTGTGTGACTATCATAAATAATAAATAAAAATTCTAAAAAAATAATAAAGAGGGCACTTGTTGGGTATCATGTGTAAATGATGAATCGCTAAATTATACACCTGAAAATAATAATACACTGTGTTAGCTGGAATTTAAATAAAAACTTGAAGCTAAAAAAATAAATGAGTAACAAGATTTGTGTGATAGTAAATATTTGAAGTAGGTTTTGTTGGGGAACTACATAAGATTATGAAATCTAAAGGGTAGGTACTTTTATTTTTTATTTATTTTTTAAAAAAGATTTTATTTATTTATTTACGAGAGACACAGAAAGAGAGGCAGAGGCAGAGGGAGAAGCAGGCACCATGCAGGGAGCCTGACATGGGACTTGATCCCGGGTCTCCAGGATCAGGCCCTGGGCTGAAGGGGGCACTAAACCGCTGAGCCACCTGGGCTGCCCAAGGTGGGACAAGTCCAATACCTAGTATGTAATAGGTAGTGATCTGGGTGAAGGAGTAAATAACAGATTTGTACAGGTACAAAAATAGAATTTGGGATGCATTATTAATGTGTGTTTCCAAATACTTGGCCCTCCCTAAGATGTAATAATTCTTAAAGTTGAGAGTATAATATTAGTATTGTGGAACTAGATTATCAGTTCATGCAAGCTACAGAGAAATAATTGTTGGTTATGCTCTATTTTGAAAATCCTAACTGGCCTAATTAGGGTAATGATGTGTTATTATAGGATAATGATAGGTCATTGTTGTGACATATCACAACACACATCCTGTGTTGTAGCACATCCAGGTCAGGTTCTTTGATGTTAGAAACTGTCTAGCTGGACTGAGCTAAGTGTTAGTATCTCATGAACTCTACTGTCCCTTGTGGTAGACTGGTCTGGATGAAGATAAAGCTGTGGGATATTGGGCCTCTGGATTTATGCAGGGACAGAAATTTGCTGTTAGTCTTGAAGGCAAAATGAACATTTAGAATCTTTTGAAGGAATACTTTTCAGCTGACATTTATGCTTCTCACAAATAGAGTTTGAAACAGCGGAGACATTACTAAATTCAGAAGTTCATATGCTTCTGGAGCATCGAAAGCAACAGAATGAGAGTGCAGAGGATGAACAGGAACTTTCTGAGGTCTTCATGAAAACTTTAAATTATACAGCCCGTTTCAGCCGTTTCAAAAACAGAGAGACCATTGCCAGTGTCCGTAGGTGAGTGCTAAAAGAAAGTTTTTATTAATCCAAACTGTTGGACATCTGTGTGTAAAATGCTTTTGCTTCTACTGCCACTGCCACCACTGCCATCCCATGGTCATCATCTGTACCTCTTTTTTTTCTTTTTTTCATCTGTACCTTTAATGTAAGAAAAATAATATCTGTCTGAAATTTAAAAATTGCTTATGAGATCAAAATTCTTTTTGGCCACCTTTCCACATACCTAAAATCCCAGTGGTCATCCTGCACAGTAACCACTGTTAGTTGGGTTATTAGCCTTCCAGATCTTTTCCATGTATTCACATATATATTTTATATATGTATAAAAATATATATATATATATAACACATAACAGTGTTTTGTGAGTTTTTTTTTTTAATAAAGTGGGCTTATTATTTATTTAAAATGTCTTCAGGGTCTTTATATGTAATTAAGTATAAATCAGGAGCATTCTTTCTGAATCTTTGCTGTACTTCTCAGAAGGCAGCCTTTAGCATTTTTTTTTCTAAGGCATTGCTTCTCAAATTGGGTAACCTGGAAAACCATGATGTACTAAGGCATATAGGAAGCCACAGGAAAAAACACATCTTCAAACATCAGTTTTATTTGATGGTAGGTGATTTAAAACACTTCTACATTAAAACAAACAGATACCAGCATATTGTTGAATAAAACAAAAAATATATGTGAATTCCTGAATTAAATTACAAGACTTAAAACCTTACAGATACAGAAAGTCATTTGAGCCTGTGCCCCCCAGGTCACCTAGGGATACTTGTGTGCTCTGCTCTGGTGAAAATGTTTGAGAAGTACTGTCCTTAGGAAAAGCAGGTATACAAAAAAAGATGTATATACACAGATACTTTTCAGAGAGCTATTTATAATAGCCAAGGACAGGGAGAAACCTTAAACATTCAACAGTAATTAAATAAATAGTGGTAAATCATTTGGTGAATATATTGTCATTCAAATTGTGGTAGAAAATGAAATCGAAAGATGTTCCCATGTTAAGTGTGCAGAAAATGAAGGTGATAAAATTGTATATGAAGAATAATCTGTTCTAAAAAGTGAATGTACGCATGGAGAAAAGATTGGAGGGAAATTTGCAGAGCTTCCGAGCAAAACTACAAGCTATTGGGCCTAGGAGATGACCTGGACAGATTAAAGTAGACTTACACATTCAGTATTTTAAACATGTTGGTTCTCCCCAAATTAATGTATGCATTTAGTGCCATTCTGGGAGCGCCTGAGTGGCTTGGTTGAATGACTGACTCTTGATTTCAGTTAAGGTTATGATCACAGTGTCATGAGATGGAGCCCTGCATTAGGCTATTGTAAGAATTGTCAAAAAAAAAAAATTTTTTTTTTTTTTTTGAGAAAAATGAAGGGGAGAATTTGTCCTAAAAGATGTAAAACACATTAAAAACTGATAGCAATTGGGACGACTGGGTGGCTCAGTGGTTGAGCGTTTGCCTTTGGCTGAGGGTGTGATTCCAGGATCAGGTTCCACATTGGGCTCCCTACAGGGGGCCTGCTTCTCCCTCTGCCTATGTCTCTGCCTTTCTCTGTGTCTCTAATGAGTAAATAAATAAAATCTTAAAAAAAAAAAAAACAACTGATAGCAATTAAAGTGGTGACACTTTGGCATGAGAATAGATCAGAGGGAAATAATTTTTTTTATAACCTAGAGAGCGAGTGAAAGCACTCAGGGGGGGGAAGAGCAGAGGGGAGGGAGAGAGAGAATCTTAAGCAGGCTCCCCACCTAGCATGGAGCCCACTGTGAGCTCATCTCAAGACCCTGAATCCATGTCCTGAGTCAGAATCAAGAGTCCGAGGCATAACCAATTAAGCCACCAAGGTACCCCTAAAGGGGAAATATTTTATTTATTTATTTTTTTAATTTTTCTTTAAAGATTTTATTTATTTATTCATGAGAGAGACACACACAGAGAGAGAGAGGCAGAGACACAGGCAGAGGGAGAAACAGGCTCCATGCAGGGAGCCTGACGTGGGACTTGATCCCAGGTCTCCGGAATCAGACCCTGGGCTGAAGGCGGCGCTAAACCGCTGAGCCCCCCGGGCTGCCCAAGGGGAAATATTTTAAAACAAAGTTCAAAACCTATACCTTATACCAAACTTAATTCCTAAGGAATTAAGGATTTGAATACAAACCATGGTGAATAAAAGTGCTTTGTGATAATATGAATGTTTGTATTATTTTGGCTGTGGTTAGTAAGACTTTTAAATGAGGGGAAACTTGATTGACTAGTTGAATATAAGCTTTGTGAGAGCAGGAACTTGGTCATATTCATCACTGTGTAACCTGATTGTAGGCACTAAATATAAATAGTGAATAAATGAATTTGTATAAAAATCTTTAAACTTCCCTACATCAAGTTAAATGCCATATGCAAAATGTAAGTGTAAATGAACGGGGAAAGGATTGATAGCCTTAATTTTTTATATCCTTAATATTAAAAACTCCAACAAAGAATTAATAAAGAGATGACACCAGTTTTTAAAAATGTACAGTCTCCAATTAGAGGCTCAGTTTGAATGAGAACTTCAAATGGCTAGCTAATTCACATGAAATAATGCTCATCTTGAAGGAAATCAAAGAAAGAGTAAAAGAGGTAAGTAGATTTGAAAAGATTTTTTTTTTTAAGATTTTATTTATTTATTCATGATAGTCACACACAGAGAGAGAGAGAGAGGCAGAGACATAGGCAGAGGGAGAAGCAGCCTCCATATAGGGAGCCCGATGTGGGACTCGATCCCGGGTCTCCAGGATCGCGCCCTGGGCCAAAGGCAGGCGCTAAACCGCTGCGCCACCCAGGGTTCCCTCTCTCAAAAATTTTTATAAAGAGGAAGGGAAGGGGAATCTCCATGAAAATGTTAATAGTTATTTCTCAGGATTTCAGGTTATTTTCACCTTTTTGGTGTTTCTTTGTATTGTTTATAAGTGAGCTTTTTTTTTAAAGATTTTATTCAGTTATTCATGAGAGACACAGAGAGTGAGAAAGAGGCAGAGATCCAGGCAGAGGGAGAAGCAGGCTCCATGCAGAGAGCCTGATGCGGGGCCTTCAGGATCACGGCCTGGGCCGAAGGCAGGTGCTAAACCCCTGAGCCACCCAGGGATCCCTGAGCATAGGTTCATTTAATAACAAATCTCTCCACACAGATATATACACTATTTTATAAACTTCCCATGTTAGTAAGTTTACAGTATTAAATAAATTAAGATAGCTTTTACTGAGTGACAAAGTTATGAAACAATGTGTGAGTTTATATTCTAAAACAGAAAAGTATTTGGAATGGTACACTAAGATAATAACATTGATTTTGTTTAGGTAATGATATGGGTAGCTTTTTTTCTGTCCTTCTGTATTTTCAGAATTTTGTATGATAACTACAATGCTTATAATAGAATAATCACAGTAAATGTTTTGTTTCTGAACAGATAATTAAGGTCTCTGAAACCAGATTTACTGTGGATGAGCTCTTATTTTAAGAGCTAAATGTGTAAGAAGGCAAGATAAGATTTGACAGTGTTTTAGACAATTTGAACTAGAATAGAAGTGCATTTAGAATAAGATGCAAAAATAAAAGGATGCAGTTTACACAAATATTTGTACAAAGTAAGGTATGCCTATATTTATTTTTTAGGTAAGTTTATAAGATTTTATTTATTTATTTGACAGGGAGAGAAAACACAAGCAGGGGGAATAACAGGCAGAGGGAGAAGGAGAAGCAGGAGTCCCACTGAGCAAGGGAGCCTAATGTGGGGCTCCATCCAGGACTCTGGGATCATGATCTGAGCTGAAGGCAGATGCTTAATCAACTTTTAGATAAGTTTAAGAGAATTTCCTCCCAAGTCAAAATACACAAACATCATGTATTTGTAATAAAATTAATGATGAAAGAAGCAAGGTACAGTGATAAAAGCAGAGAACAGCAAAATAAATTCTTGGGGAACGTTGTACAGTCCGTAAATCACATAGTAATTTTTCAAAAGTTAAAATAGGGGGTTCTCAGGCCTGATGTGCTCTGATTGCTTTTGTGTCTGCCTGATTTCATTGTAACTTTGTTTTCCAAGAATAGGAACAGGAAGTGAATTTAAAGTAGATTTTGCAGCCAAGCTTAACCATGTAGAAATATTGGAAGTGCTTTACTTTTTTTTCATACTTGTTAACTACCTTTGATTCTCTTTTCCTACTCATCATTCTTTGATTTTGTTTGTTTTGATTTTCATCACCATGATCAGCTTGTTGCTCCAGAAGAAGCTTCATAAGTTTGAGTTGGCCTGTTTGGCCAACCTTTGCCCAGAGACTGCTGAGGAGTCAAAGGCGCTGATACCAAGGTAAGCACCACTGTGCTGAGTTCTGTGTATAAAATTCCTACAAGTAGAATCACTTTGTCTAAAAAGTATGTACTTTTAAAATCGGGACAGATAGCACCAACAGGGTGTGAATATGATTTGTAGCCATGCCAGCTGTTAGCAAAAATGTGGACCAGCTGAATCTCTCACATTGGTGGTAGAAGTGCAAATTAGTACAGTCACTTTGGAGAGCAGTTTGGCTACATCTAGTAAAGTTAAAGATGATTATACCCTGTTATCTAAAAATCCATTCCTGGGTACATGCCTAAAAGCAGCCCATACCATTCTATAAGGAGGCATGTATTCTAATGTTCATTACTGCAGTGTTAGTGATAACAGAAGCTTGACAGTCAGTAAATGAGAGGATGGATAAATCATTTATGTAGCAGTACAAAAATTAATGAACTGGAACAATATGGAGTAATAACTAATACCAGAATCATTTTGGAGTGAAAAAATTCGCAGAAGGATAAATGTATTACAATGTCATTTCTTAAAAGTTTGAAAACAGTGCTGCATATGGCTTGTAGATACCTTTATATATGTATATAATAATAAGTCTAAAAATATGTATAGGAATGATAAATACAAATGCAGGATAATGGCTATTAATTCTGGGGAAGGTATTGCAATGGGGGAGCATACACAGAGCCATTAATTTATTCCTGTTGTGTTTATTAAAGAAATCTAAATCAAGTAGGGGTAGCTGTTAGGGTTAACATATTTTTATACTTTCTTAAATCTTTGAAACACTTCATATGTGTTTAAAAGGAATGGCAGAAATAAAGCTGAAGGTAGAGGTGTCAGTGTTTAGAGGTAAATGGAAAAGTGTGTAAGTGGTGCTCAAAGATGAGCATGTGTTCAAAAGAGTATAGGGAACATTGTCAATTCCTGAGATACTCATTTCTTTTGGTTTTATTCTTGTAGCTTGGAGGGGCGGTTTGAAGATGAGGAGCTACAGCAGATTCTTGATGATATCCAGACCAAGCGCAGCTTTCAATATTAGTCTCCAAATATCGCTCCACTGCTGAGGGAACTGTGTCCCAAGCCCATCACCACTGACCAGGTGTCTGGAGCTGACTTACACGGAAATACTATTGCAGAAGACAGTTGGGCTTCCTTTGGCTAGAACAACTCAGCTTGGTCTCAGTTTAGGTTGCTGTTTTAGACTTAACTCCTAGACCATGGTAACCTGGCCTTCCCTCTTGGAGGGGGAGGCATGAGGGGTGATGCGCACATAAGCTACACTAGTGACTACCTTCTACCACAGTTTTGGCACCTGTGTTATTTTTAAATTGTTTTTGTTTTAAGATTGTGTTTGGCTTTTTTTTGTTGTTTGTTTGTTTGTTTATCTGTTTTGTTTTGTTTTGAGTAGTCTCTCCCCCCAGTGTGGGGCTTGATCTCATTACCCCCAAGGTCAAGAGTTGCAGGCTCCACTGACTGAACCATTCAAGCACCCCCTTTTTTTTTAAGATTTTAGTTTTTTAGCCCCTGTGTTAATTTTATTCCTAAGATCTCATGTTTTAATTTCAGCGTATTTGTAGTTTTTGAAACTACAGGAAACGACAGTCTTATCTCAATGCAAAAGGAAGAATTAAGGGGCCCTTGGCTGATTCAGTTGGTAGAGCATGTGACTCTTGATCTCAGGGTGGTGAGTTCAAGCCCCATATTGGGGAAAAAAAAAAAAGCCCCATATTGGGCTTGGTGCCTACTTTAAAGAAACAAGGAAGGAACCCCAAATATAAACGCAAAAGGAAGAATTAAACCAGACGTCTACCATCATCTGAAATTCTTACAGAAAGGATGATGGTGTTAATGACTGAGACAGCATTGGAATCATTGTGTTTAACCCAGAAGTCAAGGAAGAAGCTCACCAGGGAAAGTAGTTATACCTGAAGATAACTGCCAAACATCGGGGGCTCGTAGCCTTGGGGTTGATCAGTACCGGGCCTTTTTTCTTGACTGTTGAAGGATGTAGATTTCTCACTCCCAGGTTAAGATTTTTTTTTTTCCTTCATGGGCCAGACTTGAGGGTCTGAACATTTTGAAGACTCCTTGTATGGGGCATCCAGTCCAAACTCTGTCATGCAACTCAGCAGCAGGTGATATCTGATGGGGTGATTGGGAAGGAGGGAGCCTGCCCCTTCCTGAGCCACTACAGTGAAGTCACTCGATGTAAAGCTAGTTGGGGGAAACTCTTTGATAAATACTCTAGGGATCCCTGGGTGGCTCAGCAGTTTGGTGCCCGCCTTTGGCCTAGGGTGTGATCCTGGAGACCCGGGATCGGGTCCCACATGGGGCTCCCTGTGTGGAGCCTGCTTCTCCCTCTGCTGTGTCTCTGCCTCTCTGTGTCTCATGAATAAATAAATAAAACCTTTAAAAAAAAAATACTCTAGCTTTCTATCATAGCCAGTGGAGTTTATCCAAGGCACGATTGTTGCTGATTGAAAGAAAAAAAAAATAGCTGAACATTCTAGCTTTGATTATGCTGAGAGGAACTATGCCTATTTTCTTCACAATTTGTAGATTTTTCTTTGGAGCACTTGTTGGCTCCCAATGAATACATGATGTAAAAAAAAAAAAGAAAGAAAGAAAGAAAGAAAGAAGGAAAGAAAGAAAGAAAGAAAGAAAGAAAGAAAGAAAGATTGGAGGAACAAAAAGTTAGCTTTCTTTCCTTTTTTTTAAAAGTAGGTTTCACACCCAATGTAGGTCTCAAACTTAAGACCCAGAGATCAAGAATCATATGCTTTACTGACTGAGCCTGCTAGAAGCACCAACAAAATTAGCTTTAACAGTTAAGATAGTTTGGGGCAACTGGCTGGCTCAGTCAGTAGAGCGTATGACTTGATCTTGGGGTGGTGAATTCAAGACCCACACTGGGTGTGGAGCTTACTTGAAAGTAAAAATAAATAGGGCGGGCCGCCTGGGTGGCTCATGACCTTCAGCTCAGGTCATGATTTCAGGGTCTTGCTCATCGAGGAGTCTGCTTCTCCCTCTCCTGCCCCTTCACTTGTTTTCTCTGTTAAATAAATAAAATCCTTAGGCGGGGAAAACCCTCTTCAGAAAGCAAAATTAACTGGAAGAAACTTTTCTTGAAAATTGACATTCTGGTTTAATGAATATTTATTCAACTTAAGGCTTGAAGAAGCATCACTGAATGAAGTCTGAGTAGCACAAGCCATTCTTATCAAACATTAATGTTTTAAGCTTATTTATAAAACCACTGACACCTACATAGACTTGCATGTGAATGATCATTGTATTTTTTTTTTATATTTTTTTATTTATGATCGTCACACAGAGAGCGAGAGAGGCAGAGACATAGGCAGAGGGAGAAGCAGGCTCCATGCAACGGGAGCCTGACGTGGGACTCAATCCCGGGTCTCCAGGATCGCGCCCTGGACCAAAGGCAGGCGCTAAACCGCTGCGCCACCCAGGGATCCCTGATCATTGTAGTATTATAATAGCCAATAACGGATCAGTCTGAATGCCCACCAACTGGTGAATTAATAAACAAAATACATATTCCAAATAGCAGCATACTATTCAGCAATAAAAGTAAAATTGCTGAAGCCTGCAGGATATGCCAGTGGTATGACATTTTCAATTTTTATGAAAAATTTAAACAGGGAAGCTCAAAAGACCAGTACATTAATCACCTATCTGCTCATCACCTACATTTAACAGATATTTGCTTCACCTCTAATTTTGCTAAGATGCAGTTGAAAGCAGCTCGACACTTGATTGAAATACTTAAGCGTGCATTTAAAAAAATACTTTATTTGTAAGTAGCATTATTGCACTTGGGAACATTGACCAGAATTGCCTCATCTCTAATACTCAGTTCATATTTAAATTTTCCTGCGGTGAGTTATGAGCCAAAGGTCAATCCAGCATTGGTGTAATTTAGAATGAAAGCAGTTATCATCAAGGATCTAAACTGCATGGGATCCCTGGGTGGCTCAGCGGTTTAGCGCCTGCCTTTGGCTCAGGGTGCAATCCTGGAGTCCCAGGATCGAGTCCTGCATCAGGCTCCTGGCATGGAGCCTGCTTCTCCCTCTGCCTGTGTCTCTGCCTCTCTGTCTATCATGAACAAATAAATCTTTTTCTTAAAAAAAAGGATCTAAACTGACACTTGTGAAAAATAGACATGTGGTCACTGCCATTATATTGCTGTAAGGGACCTTGACAGGACAAAAATACCTGTATGCAGTCTTGGATAAAAACAAACAAGGTAGATCTTGGGTCCCAAGTAGCACTTGATAGTAACACGTCTGCAGTCTTCCTTGATTGTCACCAGGAGTGCAGGTGGGTGGACTAGAAGCAGAAGGTGGTGAATGGTAGCAGAGAAAAGCAGGTCTGTATGCCACTGAATCTTAAGACTAGGGTTACGTGCAACTCCTTTTGCTTTGCACAGCACTGAGTAGGCACTTAATAGTAAATGCTGAGTAAATAGCCCCTATTTTGAGAAAGGTCAGTGTGGAGCTTCAAGGAGAGGCAAGAATGTACCAGAGTGAGAAAATCATAGAGGGTTCCATGAGTTAGGGTGGTGGGCAAGCAGCCCAGAATATACCTGGCAGCTTTGAATGACAAGCCAAAGGTGTCATTCTCTGCCCTGTCCAACATGGGAGATAATAGCCACATGCAGCTATTGAGCACTTCAGCCTGGTGTGACTCAGGAACAGCATTTTATTTATTTTTTAAGATTTTATTTATTCATGAGAGAGAGAGAGAGGCAGAGACAGGCAGAGGGAGAAGCAGGCTCCATGCAGGGAGCCCGATGTGGGACTCGATCCCGGGTCTCCAGGATCAGGTCCTGGGCTGAAGGCAGGCGCTAAACCGCTGAGCCACCCAGGGATCCCCAGTTTTACTCAATTTAAATTAAAAAAAATAGTTACTAGTGGCCTGTGGTTACTGGATTGGACAACACAGCTCTCAGCTACCAACACAGCTGTCCTGCAGGCCACTGAAAGAAGGATTTCAGGTAGATTAACTGTTGACAAAAGCAGCAGTAATCATAGGACCATTAATCACAATTTGGAGTTTAGTCATGTATATCATTTTCTATATATTACAGAGTTTTTTTGTGTAATACAAGTTCTGCTTTTGAAAATCTACCTTGGGGGCAGCCCCGGTGGCACAGCGGTTTAGTGCCACCTGCAGCCTGGGGTGTGATCCTGGAGACCTGGGATCGAGTCCCGCATCGGGCTCCCTGCATGGGGCCTGCTTCTCCCTCTGCCTGTCTCTGCCTGTGTGTGTGTGTGTGTGTGTGTCTCATAAATAAGTAAAATCTTAAAAAATAAATAAAGTCAAGGTGTTATCACCTACGGTTTCCAATACTCATATTTTGTAATTCTAATAAATGTGTCCCAGAGGCAGGATACTTCCAGTTTCACGACTGGTATCTTTTAGTAAGTTCTACCTCTTTCTCCCAAGCCACATCAACACCATCTTGTGGCCATGCACGTCTTAAATACATTCTTGTGGAGAGCTTGTAAAATGAACTTAACATTTCTCCATATGCAAAAGCAACTGGAAGTTACAAGTACTTGGAAAACAGTACTTTCTAAACTTAGAAGAAATAAAAAACACAGACTTGATGTAAGAATTTAAAATTACAGGACACCTAGGTGGTGCAGTTGAGCATCCAACTCTTGGTTTCTGCTCAGATCTTAATCTCAGGATTGTGAGATTGGGTCCTGTGTTGGCCTGGGTGTTGGGCTCTTTGTTCAGTGTAGAGTCAGCTTGAGAGTCTCTCTTCTCCCTTTGCCCCTTCCATTTCTGCTCTCTCTCTAAAGTGATAAATCATTAAAGTTAAAATCACTAACTTAAGGCAATCAACAGACTAATAAAGTTTATACCAGAGAACATAGGCAGCGTGAAGATATTTTATAGAGGTTTCATTTTTTAAGTTTTTTTTTTGTTTTGTTTTGTTTTTTTTAGGGGCACCTGGGTAGCTCAGTCAGTTAAGCAGCTGCCTTTGGCTCAGGTCATGATCCCAGGGTCTTGGGATTGGGCTCCTCATTGAGCTCCCCACTCAATGGGCAGCCTGATCTCCCTCTCCACCACTTGACTTGTGCTCTGTCACACACGCACTCTCCCCAAAAAATAAAATCTTGGGACGCCTGGATGGCTCAGCGGTTGAGCGTCTGCCTTTGGCTTAGGGCATGATCCTGTTCCAGGGATAGAGTCCCACGCTGGGCTCCCTGCGAGGATCCTGCTTCTTCTCTCTGCCTCTCTCTCTGTCTCAAATGAATGAATAAATGAATAAATAAATAATAAAATCCTTTAAAAAAATTTGGAAGGGGGAAAAAAAAGAATACAAAGTGTAATGGCCAAAGGTGGGAAGGAGCTTGGGAGAAATAGGAAAAGGTAGTGGACCTGAGGGGGGTGTATGGCTGTATAGGGAAGGGTTGTAGGGCGCTATGTGAAGGGAGCGGCTTTGGAGAGGGAGCTGGCAGGGGAGACAGGTCAAGAGGATTGGAGATGGAAGGAACTTGTGTATGTTTATGTGTCAATGGGACTGACCCAGGGGGACTGAAAAATTTGCCATGTGGGATAGAAGAGACGTGCAATAGCAAAGTTTACATAGAGGAAAAAGAAACAGGGTCCAGTGGCTAAGTGGAGGAGAGGCACAGTAAAAGGACAGAGTTTATATATTTTTGTACGAAGGAAGGCAGAGAATGTGCACACACAAAGCAGGCATGTACGCTAGTAGATTTGGTCCCGTGAAGACAGTGTCACCAAGTTTACTAAACTACAGATATAAGGAACCACGTGTTGGGTGAGGGGAGGTGGAGGTGGTGTTCTCAGATGAGGGAAGAGGATCATAGGTTGTATAAACAAAAGCATCCCCCAAAATGGGTTGAGTACCATAAAAATGTTCATACATCTGACCTAGTGATTCTGGTGTGGAAATTGTATACCAAATATCTGGAACACCAAAAAAGCTGTCAGGAGCTGATTCTTTTTCCAAGAAAGAAATAGTATGGTATGTTATGGTCACTGTTCATGGAATATTTCTCACCTATTAAACAGGTGAGGTTTTTTTCAGAAGCTAAATGGTTTACAACCAAAATATTTTGATTTAGATAGACATTAAGGACATTATGCTACGTGAAATATCAGAGAAAGACAAATACCATATAATCTCACTTATATGTGGATTCTAAAAAACCCAACGTTGGGATGCCTGGGTGGCTCAGTGGCTGAGCATCTGCCTTCAGCTCGGGTTGTGATCCTGGGATCCGAGATCGAGTCCCACGTTGGCCTCCTGCGGGGAGCCTGCTTCTCCCTCTACCTATGTCTCTGCCTCTCTGTCTCTCATGAATAAATAAATAAATCTTAAAAAAAAACAAGGCCTGGGGATATAATACACAGCAGGGTGACCATAGTTAATAATACCATATTGTAGGTGCACCTGGGTGGCTCAGTTGATTAAGCACCAGGTTTTTGGTTTGGGCTCAGGTCATGATCTCATGGGTCGTGGGACAGAGTATGTGTCAGGCCCTGCAGTCAGGGAGGAGTCTGCTTGAAGCTTCTCTGCCCTGCCTCTCCTCCATTTCTGTGCCCTCTCTCTCTAAAATAAATAAATTGTTGAAAAAGATAATACTATATTGTATGATTAAAAGTTGCCCAGAGTAGATCTTGAAAGTTGTCACCACTGGAAAAAAAACTGTAACTATGTGAGGTCATGGATGTTAACTAAACTTATTGTGGTTACCATTTCACTATGTATGTATATATATTTATATATGCACACATAATATATATGTACAATTATATATATAATCATTAATATAGTATTGTATGTCAGTTACCTCAATAAGGCTGGAAAAATACATAAAACTTACAGAATTTTTGATTTTGGAAAAAAAAATTTTTTTATTTTGGGATACGTGGTTGGCTCCACTGGAGGAGCATGAACTTTTTTTTAAAAGACTTTATTTATTCATGAGAGACAGAGGGAAAAGCAGGCTCCAAACAGGGAGCCCGATGTGGGACTTGATCCCAGGACTCCAGGATCATGTCCTGGGCCAAAGGCAGGCACTAAACCACTGAGCCACCCAGGCTTCCCAGAGCATGAACTCTCCATCTTGAGGTTGTGAGTTGGAGCTCCATGTTGAGTGTGGTACCTACTTAAAAAAAATTCTTTTTTATTTGACTTGAAGTAAAAATTAGATTGTTGAGTAAACATACAAAAGGGGGTAAACATTTGTACTTCCTTTTTTTTTTTTTTTTTTTATTTATGATAGTCACACACAGAGAGAGAGGCGCAGAGACACAGGCAGAGGGAGAAGCAGGCTCCATGCACCGGGAGCCCGACGTGGGATTCGATCCTGGGTCTCCAGGATCACGCCCTGGGCCAAAGGCAGGCGCCAAACCACTGCACCACCCAGGGATCCCCAACATTTGTACTTCCAAAAGGAACACTTAAGAACAGAACTTGCCTTCTCCTTCAGCTTAGACAGGAAAGTGCCAAATGCTCAGTTCTGTTCCCTTCACCCACAACGGAACTCTGGATGTCACACTTGCTGACCCCTGCCTACCAGGCCTGCATTCACCTGGACAGTCTGGAGCAAAGAGCTCAGCCCCGTCCCCTGATACCAAACCAGCCCTTGGGCTCTCTGAATATTAAAAATTGACAGGCCAAAGGAGAGTTCCACGCAAGGCTTTGTTGGAGTTTATGCTCCAGCACAAGGGAAGTAACGCAGGGGAGTCCTCAGGCTGGCTCCCACGCCCTGAGCTGAAGGTGCTAAACCGCTGGGCCACGGGGGCCCACACAGGGTTTAACATCTATTTGCATTTCAGAATCCTATGAGGAGGCTGGCAGTTGTAATATGCTGCTGTCAAGTGGAAGAACAAAACCGTTAGCCGCGGGTCCTGTTCTTGGTGCAGAAAATGGGCTGGTTTAAATAATCATAATTATAG